TAAATAGTTCTTTGCACAGTTCTGTTTTCAAAATAGACAATTGTGAACAAATCTGATAAAGGCAATGGTCTGATGTGAGCTCTTCATTACAAGTAATAGGAGAAAAATAGAAAAGATAAGTAAAAGAGCAATACATCAACTTGAATGAAGAAAAATAAATGCCACTAAAAATGTGAGGAGAACAAACAGGTTTGTCCTGGAGAGGGTGAAGCCAGAATGTTCCCTGGAGTCAAGGATTCTGAAGCTTCGTCTGACATACTTTGGGCATGCTGCAAGGAGGGACCGGTCCTTGGAGAGGGACATCATGTTTGGGAGAGTGGGGGGGTGGCACAGGAGAGGAAGACCCTGGATGAGATGGATCAATTCTGTGAGTGGAGGTGGTAATGAATGTGTTTGAGACAGCGAGGTTGGCACAGGATAGAACGGCATTTAAGGCTCTTGTACATAGGGTTGCTATAAGTTGCAAACGACTCGATGGCACATAACAACAACAACAACAAAAGCTACTTTAACACAAAAAAGAAAATAAAAAAATGTGATTTACATATTTTTTGAAATTTATTATGTATCATTTACACAAATGATTGATAAAGGCACAGAGCTAGAGAAACATTTATCGTTTTTCCTTATAATCAGAACAACTATACTTAGGGGAATGCCTGTAGCCTAGTGGGTGAGGAGCTTTGCTGCCAAGCCAAAGACAGGTGGTTTGAATTCAATCTCCCACCCAATTTACCTATGACAATCTGCTGGAGGGGATGCTAGAGGGGCAGCTACGGGTCAGTTCTGATGCAGAGCAATGAAAGAGACACTCTCCTGGCTTCTTCAACAAGATTTTCCAAGTGAAAAAAAAAAATCAGTCTTCACAATAAATCACAAAATAGCAGTTTACGTAAAAGTCATTTTACTGTAAGTTTATACATTGGGTTTATGCATTTTAAAGAAGAGAAAGAAGGAGAAACTCTGAGTTTTGATATTTAATATCATGAAACAGTATTTAATCAGGATTCACCATATATATCTGTTGACACTCTTAAGACTTTCCATAACTGACATTGACTATTTTTCTGCACTTTTTTTGCCTCCAAACGTGTAGGGCAGTTATGTTTTGTAACAAACAATTGTTTGTTAATGTGTGTGATTTCATTCTTTTTTTTCTACTTTAATCCTGGCTGGTTTTGGCTTTAAAACTAGTGATGACAATTTGACATACATATATATTTTCCTGCAGTAAAAAGGCACTTAAGATGAGTAATTACTCCGTAAATGGCTGGTATGCACCACAGGTGACTCAATGACACATAACAACAGTGACATACTATGACAGGTTTGGAAGCAGGAGTGGCATCCACTTCCTAAATAATATGCCTCTGGAAACTCTATAAACTTTGATAAATGTCGATAGTTGTAGAGGGGCTTAATTAAGGCCTTTTATTCATACGGTCGTTATGAGTCTTGCTCCACTCAAAGGAAATCAACAACTCTGTAAACACTAATCAATGGGATAGACATGGGAAAATAGACTCAATTTGTGACAAAGAATGCTGATTTGCAGCTGATAAAAATGTCTTCTTAGACATCAAGGCCAATTGATGATCCTGGGGCTTTTGTGATAGCTGGTTTCATCTTTTTTTCTCACTATCCTTTTCTCTTGGGGGTTTGGAAGGAGAAAGGTCAAGGCACTTGTCATATAGAGTCAAAGTGACACAGTTCTTTAACAAAATAGTAAAAAAAAAAAAAAAAAAAGAAAAGCCTATTCAAATAGCCCTTGAATCTGTGGCTTTAAATAGACTTGCCACTTAAGTCTGATTCACTGCAGAGGTCAGCAGGGGCTAAGGTCTCTGCTTTATCAAACAAAGCAGAAGGTCTTTCAAGATCTGATGCTCAATTGTACCCTGGTGCACACCTACCTGTATAAGAAAGCTAGAGGCGTGGTGGTTGCAGCATTAATTTCTGTCAGGAGGCAGTGGGTAAAGGGCGGGGTTATAAAAGAGGAGGAAGGTACAAAGGAGACAGTACAAAAGAACTGGCCCATTTTCAAAGAATTTTGAGTTTTATAAAGATTTTTACTCCAACAATTAGAGGCTGTGAAGAATATTTAGATAAAATAGATCCTTACATAATTGCTGGCTTTCTACAAAGAGGAAGGCAACCACATCTCTTCACAAAGGGCTCAAAGGTAACTGTATAAACTCTGCAAGTGTAAAGGGACACAATTTTGTTGAGAGAAAAGAAATAGAAATAAATTGACTTGGCTTTCCCTGTTTTTAGGGTACTGAGTGGAGCGATTCCCAACACTAAGGAAAGAAACTGAGTGGTTTGTTGCAAATTCATACCCAGAAAAATACCGTAGCATAAAAAAAAGTGGAAAATTAAGAAACAGTTTAGATCTACCATGATTAACTCACCCTCAGTTTATTGCCATACTCTTTAGTTTAGCACAAGAGCCTATGATAGGAATCAAAAGAGCATCAAACTAAAAGTTTCGGATCAGCCAGAAAATCTGTGCTGTGGAAATTGCCTTCGTTCTCTTCACTCTTTCACTCATTCTTTGGGAACCAACTCATAGTTGAGCCTCCTTGAGTTTCTAAGGCTGTTAGTCAGTTGCACAGGAGAAGACTGCCTATCTTTATCCTGAGGAACTGCTGATGCATTTGAACTATCAGAGAGGTGCACACACCCTTTTGGCTAGTAGCATGGCATCTTATGGATCACAGCTCCTCCTACCATTGCCTGTCTGTATGAGAAACAACTGTAGAAACCAAATAGGAAATTAGTAATGTCACATGTTTGGATTATCTTCAAGTAACTATTTTCTTTATCATTTTATCATAGACTTTTTAACACATTTCTACTGACTTGATTCCAATCCTTAGGAACTTCACTGGACAAAAAAGAACTGCCCCATAGGGTTTCCCAGACCATGCCATTTTACAGAAGCCAACTATTACACCTTTCTCCCATGAAATAGCTAGTGGATTTGAACTGCTAAGCTCTGGTTAAGCTACCAGGCACTTAACCATGCCAATAAAGCTGGTATTTGGCTGTACAATGATAGAGATTAGTTCAGAGGTAATCTGAATCTTCATACTCATATTAGAAGTTCCTTCTTAAAAAACAGTGTGGAAAATTACGTGCCTATTTTTGTACAAGCAGCAAGGTTAAAAAATAATTATAACTACTATTTAATGAGCCTCTTTCTGCAGATTGCATATGTTTATCACATTCCTCTTCACAAGGACAAGGTGAAGTAGGTGTTAAATATCTCTATTTAAAAAAAATTCTCTACTTACATCTGAACAAACTCAGCTCACAATTCCTTTGGAATAAGTACGCCTTAGAGAGCCCACACTTAAATTCAGGTCTGTTTGTTCTTTTGCAACAAGGTCACTAATAGTTTTAGGGAATCTTGAAAATTTATATTCTAATAAGTCCTCTCTTATTTTTTAGATAAACATTAAGAACAAATTCTGCAACATAATATCTACCTCTGAAGAATGGGTATATT